GACTGTGGAACAAACCGTCCTGGCTTGCCGGTAGAGACAACGCAGTGAATCCTTTTGTCTGGATTTAAAATTGGTAATTGCAAGTATTTCCTAGGTGCAACAGCTTCTGGCCGTATGTCGCGATCTTGGTCTGGGTATCCGCCTGTAACGTAAGCCCGGCTTGTCGCAGAGGGCGTTTTGCCAACGAATGTGGTATAACGCTGATTTCTGCGCTCGTAGCAACCAAAAAATGAAGTTTAGTCGTGGAGTCGAACACGTACAGAAGGCGACTGGGGATTTCACCAGCGACAGCCGTCGCCAATACTGGCTGGCTTTGGCGTTTCCCGGTTGCGAAATCGGAGTCCCTTTCGGATATTTGCATCCTGGACGACAGTTACGTGCTGCTTTACCAAAACGACGGTGGAAATAACAGCACGGCCGCTGACTTGAGCGTGATGTGCTGCGGCGCGGATCACGAGGACTTCTTCGGCTAGGAGTGCGTTCACGTCGAATAGCAGACATGCTGAGTTCTAGACGGCATTTTCTATCGTTTATCAAATCAAGCGTAGTGCTAGGGGATGAGCTGGCTGTGGTGGACTCAGTTAGATGATTAAGAGTACTCTTAAAGAAACATTCGTGCGTTTTGTCCGCCGCTTCTGCTAACTTTTCCAGAGAGATACCGCCGCTAAGAACTGATAGTATCGCTGTGATGTTTGCCGGAAGACATTTCATCCAAATTTGGCGGAGGATGGAGTCGTCGAGTTTCGACGAACCAACTAGGGAACGCATGTGTCTTAGGAGCTGAGATGGGGTGCGATCGCCAAGCTTGACGCAGGAAAGTAACTGTTGCAGACGAGCTTCATCAGACGCGGTTGTGCGTTTAAGGATGGCTACTTTAAGTTTATCATACGGCGCTTCAACAGCCATAGGATCAAGAATATCAATGGCTTCAACTGCAACGGAGACAGGTAAGCGCGCGACGACCTAGGAGAACAAGGAAGCTTGTGAAGTGATTTTACGACATCGAAAAGTACCTGAATAAACCACACACGTGGATAAGAAATGTCAATTTAGGAAGCGAAAGTTTGCCGGAATTGTCAGTAGAAACACATGGGTTGAGGTCAGATATGCCAAGAAAAAATACGTGTTCAAAAAAATAAGGCGAGGTCGCCAATTTATGTAGTGGTCGAAAATACTAGGAAGGTCTCAACTCCTTAGTAAAAGGCAAAAGTTGGAAAGGGTAAACTCACAGTCTAATCACAGTTGAGTTCGAGTCGTAGGTTGCGCTATACCTGTGGCACACGTCGAGCACAATGGAAATAGACGTTTGATAGTAATTCCGAATATACTATCCGATTCGCAAGCAGATTGGACTGCACCGTACGCACGCAGAAGCAGCACAGCCAGAAATCAGCACGTCAGAACGCGGGGCACGAAGAAGTGTATTGTAATCATTAATTCAAACCAACTGTACAAAAGATGTCATGATAAAATTGATGACAAGAAAGACAAAGTGTAAAAGATTAATAACCCCTACATAACTCTCTCCGTAGAGCGTGAACTGGTAAGATAACGCTCGATATGGCTATTCAGGGAACAAACTCTGCTAGTTTGGAGGGGAAAGACACAGATCGTCCTGAACGTGTGTGTTTGGGATCATTCGTTGGGCGAGCGCATGAAGATTCTGGAGTATTGGAATCAGTCGGTTGACCAACAGGGGTAACAACTGGAGATGCGTCAAAGTAACGACAGGCTCAACATAAGCGGGTTTAAGACGGTCAATACTCACAGATTCTTTCGATCCATTTCTTTCCAGTGTGAAGTACTTAGGTTTCCGTGACAACACTTTGAAAGGACCTTCATAAGGGGGTGTCAACGGCTTGCGAACTGCATCAATGCGAATGAAAACAAAAGGACAAGTGTGTAAATCCGGATGAATTCGTTGTTCGCTAGCAGTGAAGCGAGTAGACGTAGGTCGAATTGTTCGGAAGCGTTTTTTGGGACGTTCGGCGTAGGACACAGGATCTATCTCACCAGTGACTCGGGAATCCAAAATCATCTCACCTGGAAGTCTGAGAGTGGTGCCAAAGACGAGTTCGGCAGGGCTGCATCCAATATCCTCTTTGACGGTGTTACGAATACCAAGCAGGACAGCTGGGATGCGTTCAGACCAATGTGGATCAGGTGAAGTAGCTGTGATGCCGGCTTTAAGCTGTCGATGGAAACGCTCGACAAGGCAATTCGAAGCGGGATGATAAGCAGTTGTCCGAATGTGCGTACAACCCAACAGACGATTCAAGTCACGGAACAAGGTGGAACTAAACTGAGATCCTCGATCTGTAGTGATCGTAAATGGTACACCGAAACAGGAAATCCTTGAGTCGAATAATCGCGGGCAACAGATTCTGAAGATATGCCACGTAAAGGAATGGCGTGCGGCCAACGAGTAAAACGATCAACACAAGTCAAAATGAAGGTGAAATTGTTCGGTGGAGGAAGCGGTCTGACTATGTCTAGGTGGACATGTCTAAAACGCGCCTTAGGTGGTGTGAATGTTCCGGGGGCAGAGATAGTGTGTCTGTGTACTTTGCTGCTCTGGCAGCTGCGACAGTGTTTAGTCCATTGGCGGATATCAGAGCGCATACTAGGTCAGATGAAACGATCAGTAATCAACTTCACAGTGGATCGAATGCTAGGATGCGATGGTCCGTGAAAATGGTCAAGGACGGTTCGCCGGAAAGACTGTGGAACAAACCGTCCTGGCTTGCCGGTAGAGACAACGCAGTGAATCCTTTTGTCTGGATTTAAAATTGGTAATTGCAAGTATTTCCTAGGTGCAACAGCTTCTGGCCGTATGTCGCGATCTTGGTCTGGGTATCCGCCTGTAACATAAGCCCGGCTTGTCGCAGAGGGCGTTTTGCCAACGAATGTGGTATAACGCTGATTTCTGCGCTCGTAGCAACCAAAAAATGAAGTTTAGTCGTGGAGTCGAACACGTACAGAAGGCGACTGGGGATTTCACCAGCGACAGCCGTCGCCAATACTGGCTGGCTTTGGCGTTTCCCGGTTGCGAAATCGGAGTCCCTTTCGGATATTTGCATCCTGGACGACAGTTACGTGCTGCTTTACCAAAACGACGGTGGAAATAACAGCACGGCCGCTGACTTGAGCGTGATGTGCTGCGGCGCGGATCACGAGGACTTCTTCGGCTAGGAGTGCGTTCACGTCGAATAGCAGACATGCTGAGTTCTAGACGGCATTTTCTATCGTTTATCAAATCAAGCGTAGTGCTAGGGGATGAGCTGGCTGTGGTGGACTCAGTTAGATGATTAAGAGTACTCTTAAAGAAACATTCGTGCGTTTTGTCCGCCGCTTCTGCTAACTTTTCCAGAGAGATACCGCCGCTAAGAACTGATAGTATCGCTGTGATGTTTGCCGGAAGACATTTCATCCAAATTTGGCGGAGGATGGAGTCGTCGAGTTTCGACGAACCAACTAGGGAACGCATGTGTCTTAGGAGCTGAGATGGGGTGCGATCGCCAAGCTTGACGCAGGAAAGTAACTGTTGCAGACGAGCTTCATCAGACGCAGTTGTGCGTTTAAGGATGGCTACTTTAAGTTTATCATACGGCGCTTCAACAGCCATAGGATCAAGAATATCAATGGCTTCAACTGCAACGGAGACAGGTAAGCGCGCGACGACCTAGGAGAACAAGGAAGCTTGTGAAGTGATTTTACGACATCGAAAAGTACCTGAATAAACCACACACGTGGATAAGAAATGTCAATTTAGGAAGCGAAAGTTTGCCGGAATTGTCAGTAGAAACACATGGGTTGAGGTCAGATATGCCAAGAAAAAATACGTGTTCAAAAAAATAAGGCGAGGTCGCCAATTTATGTAGTGGTCGAAAATACTAGGAAGGTCTCAACCCCTTAGTAAAAGGCAAAAAGTTGGAAAGGGTAAACTCACAGTCTAATCATAGTTGAGTTCGAGTCGTAGGTTGCGCTATACCTGTAGCACACGTCGAGCACAATGGAAATAGACGTTTGATAATAATTCCGAGTATACTATCCGATTTGCAAGCAGACTGGACGGCACCGTACGCACGCAGAAGCAGCACAGCCAGAAATCAGCACGACAAAACGCGGGGCGCGAAGAAGTGTATTGTAATCGTTAATTCAAACCAACTGTACAAAAGATGTCATGATAAAATTGATGACAAGAAAGACAAAGTGTAAAAGATTAATAAGCACTACATCCTCCCCACCACATCCGGGACAAAATGGAGCTAGAGAAGTTTTTACAGGTGGGTACTAGGTTAGTCGAGGGATTACGGGGCGGATGTACCCCGAGCAAATACTGAGTTTGGGTATGCATTCAAAGCCCTACCGAAGGCTTAGAAGATACCTAATCCTAATCTACCGTACTTTGACTGGAAAGGTTTGTCCAGATTTATATGAGTTGTTCAATCCCGCTAGATTGTCTTTTCTACGCGGTCATTTCTTGAAGCTGAACAAATCGCGGTCCGATCGGATTAGGACACAAATCCGGCTGTCACGCAGAGTCTTCGAGCTTTGGATTATGCTTCCGGAAAGCGTTAGCAGAGCATGTACGGTTAAGGGGTTTGAGCGGCAACTGGACGCTCTTGGATGGTAAAACGAATCCTTTACATTGGCCTGACGGACTAGCATCATCGCATTTAGATTTTCTTTTCTCTAGTGTTCTTCACCCATTGGTCTTATTTTCTTATTTCAAGTACAGCTCCTTATTCTGTACCGTCGGTTTCTCCTCCTAACGTTGGCCTACTTTACATGACTGCCACAGCATGGACTGCTAGGGCAGGAAACGTGGACGTTAACTGGTTGGCCGGGGTACAATACGGATGTTCCGTTGTAGATCTATCAATAACTCCGAGCACTTAATCAATTTCTGTTTCGAAGATCCACTCAAAATAGAAAGCTCACGGGATGCTCCTATCTTCCCAGTCCCAACCGAACTTGAACTTGTACTTGGCACGTTATTCACAGTCACTCGAGGCCCCATTACTTCGCGTCTCGATAAGTTGACGCTGCACAGAAATTATGTCTCGTACCCTGGGTTCGGGCCTTGATAACATCTACCTGGTAAGCACTTGTTCTTTAAGCACTTACATGTAATAGCGCTGCAATTTTTTGTGTTCGGTAGTTGCCGTGATATCTATTTCTTCATTTTGGTTTCACCTTTTGGCCGATGGCCAACAGATTTCATCATGATTAATCAGTCACAGCTTCACAGCTGTAAAAAGCAGAAGGAAAGACCCGTGTTAGTCCACAACTATTCGTTTGTTGACTGGACGGTGCGCATCACGGGACTTCCCTTTTGCGCTATACCACAAGTTCAAGTTCAAGCGGGACTGGAACAATAGGATTATCCCGTGAGTGTTCCTTCTTCGGCGGGTCGTTGAACTAAGAGTTAGCGAACTTTGAAATACTGATGGACCTAAAACAAAGACCGCATCACACCCTGTCCAACCAATTAATGCCCACGTATCCTGCCCTAGCAGTCCCTGCTGGGTCGGTTACGTGAAGTAAGAAAGAGAAAAAAGTAAACGCATAAGGCAAAAAAGAAAGTGGTAAGAACTAAGCAAGTGGAATACCAAGATATTTGAGTCAATAAAAAAAGAACTGAAAAGTGAAGGTGAGTCGGCTAGGAAAAAGGAAAGGTTTGCTGTTCCCACCCAAGAGCATCGAGCTGGCGCGCAAAACCCTTAACTGTAGGTTCCCTAATCACATGATCTGGAAGCGAATTCCAGCCATCTATAACTCGGCGCGATAGACGAGTTTCCGTCCTAATCCTATCAGACCGCGGTTTACACATTTTCAGTGGGTGACCGCGGAGACTAGGTAACGTAGCGGGACTAAAAAGCCCTAACAAGTCCGGGCCAATCTTACCCGTCAAAATACGATAAGTGAGAATGGGTCCCCTCTTATCCTTCGGTAGTGCATTGAGTACATCCCCAAACTGAGCAAGCGTTCAGGATACGTCTGTCCCCGTAGACCCTGCACCAACTGAGTGCCCACTCGTAACACCCTCTCCAAGTCCACTTTGTCTCGGTTAAGACATGGTGGACAAGCCTGAATACAATATTCCAGGTGGGGTCGGACGAATGCCGAAAATAGCTTCACAAACAACTTAGCCGTTAAGATTCCGAAAGAGCGGCGGATAAACCCCATCATACGGAACCGTCGACAAGCAGCCATCTTCCGTTTGTCTCCAGAATGAAGTGCTGATGCGTGTACGACTTTTAAATCAACCTACTGAGTGACAACAGGGAGTTCATCACCGCCGACGACATATCGGGTGGGAGGATTTGCAGCTCCGATTCGGAGAACAGAGCAATTCGCCCTATTTATGGGCATCAACCATAAGACAGACCATTCCCAGAGCCTATCCAAGGCACGCTGAATTGCCTCAGGACCCCCCGGGATATCCACAATATTCCAGAGCTTAAGGTCGTCAGCAAACATTAATGATGACACCCCTAGCTCTCCCGACAAGTCATTTACATAGATCGCGAACAACAATGGCCCCAATACCGAGCCCTGCGGAACGCCACTAAGGACAGCTTGCCTGAGCGAAAGGCTACGCCCCACCCGTACGCACTGTTCCCTCCCCTCAAGGAAGGCAGACACCCATTGAAGGGCGCGACCAGATATCCCGTAAGATCTCAACTTTAGTGAGAGCCGAAGATGTGGAACAGTGTCAAAAGCTTTCGAAAAACCTACGAATAGCACGTCTACAGCGTGGCCACTGTCTACCGCTTCGGCCCAGCTTTCACGAGCTACAAGTAAATTAGTCTGACATGAAAATCCTTTACGGAATCCATGTTGTGCAACACTGAGAAGGTTGAATCGATTCAGGTGGTTCTCCACTGAATCCCTTATCAGCTTCTCGAACAACTTGACTACTACGCTTGTCAAACTGACAGGCCGGTAGTTCGCGGGTAGAGCGCTGTCACCGCCCTTAAAAATCGGACAGATGATTGCCTCCTTCCATTCCGAAGGTAGGCTGCAGCTGTACAGCGATACTAAAAATACGCACGTGAGCGGACCACTCAGCTCAGTGGCCAATTCATGCAACAGCTTCGGATGAATTGAATCAGGACCGGAAGCTTTAGAGGGATTAATGCCTTGCAGTATCTCGAAGACCTGAGTCTCCGTTATGCTAAATTCAGCTAAGCAAGAATCCTCTGGAACTCTTGAAACCAATTCGACCTGTGGTAAAGAGGTCTCCCTAGCAAAGACCCCAGTATACTGATCACTCAGTATACAAGCCTTGTCATAGTCAGTTTGCGCACGGGTCCCGTCTGTTCGCAATAAAGCTGGTATAGACACTTTTGCCCCGCTGCGTCTTTTAACGTAAGCAAAAAACTTCTTGGGATTAGCTGCGGCCGAGTCCGCTAAACCCTGCTCGTATTGGAGACGAGCAGTTCTGAGATGTTGCTTACATTTATTTCTATTCTCTCGATAACTATCATAGGTACTGGCTGATGGAGCTGCTTGGTAGGTTCGCCAGCATCTAGACCGTTTCTTGAGTAGGAACTTGCCTGTGGTATCTATCCATGGAGGCTGTGCCCTTAACCCTCTTTTCCTCATGAGTGGAATATAGGGAGTGGAAACCTCCGTAAGGTATGCCTTAAATTTATCCCAGGCTAACTGGACAGAGTCAGTCATCGAGATCTCACAGTTCAGAACTGAAGCCTTAGTTCGCATTGCACTAAAGTCCGCCCGCCAAATATTCGGAAGTAATTCAACAGCGGTCTCTTGGTGCCTTGAAAGAGTACATCGAAAGGATATGCATGCGTGATCGCTAGACCCTAGAGGTGCACCGCATGAAACGTCAGTCACGAAGTCCAGGGACTTAGCGAAAACCAAATCCAAAGTAGATGGTATTTGGTTGTCCATATACCTAGTGGGAAAGTCAACGAACTGGTGCAAAGGCACTTGGAGAGTCAGTTCAAGGAAGTCTGCACCGAATGTTCCTAATGCCGAATTGCAAGAAAGATCGACCCAACAGACTTCCGGGAGGTTGAAATCCCCTAGAACTAAACACTTATTCGCAGACTGAGTGCGAATAAAGTCAAGTATCCCCCTGGAGGAACTTCCAGGACTTCTGTATATCACTATAACTGTAAACTGGGTAGAGGAAGTGCACAAAACAGCCGATAGGGCTTCAACAGTCTGATCCGACGACTGGAATGTGCAAGTCCTCAACACATCTAAGTTACAGCTCACATACAGTACAACGCCTCCGCCTTGGCGACCAACGGAGCGATCAGTTCTAAGCAGCGCGTAGCCAGGTAAATATACCTCACCGTCCGTGATATCCGGAGACAACCACGTCTCAGTGAAAGCAAGTATGTCGGGACGAGATTTGTCTACAAGTAGACCCAACTCGTGCACCTTGTTCCTTAGGCTACGCACGTTGCTAAGTACTACCTCAAGGAAGTCGGCACGACCATCCCTGGGTCGTGCGCCATCAGGATTGGTTCTGATAGGGCGGAAAGTGACTTCCGGCTGACCACCTGAAAACCCACCAGACGGAGGCCTTGCTCACCAGCCGCCCGTCTAGTTTTGAGGTCTTTGATAGCCTCCTTTAACTTCAACCTATCTGCCAGTGGTAGGTCCGGCTGAACCATGACACCACTACCCTTAAGTTTGAATGCAAATCGCAGTAACGATTTGCGTTCCTCCGGGGTAGAAAGGACTACGCGAAGTAGTCGGGGTCGTGGATTTGGCGCAGCGACAGGAACGTTCCCCAATCTGGTCAGCTTTCTGACAGTGACACCAGGGAAACCAGGTGGAAGCAGCTTGCTGACACACAGTTTCAGCCACTCGATGTCATCCAAGATGCGTTCCCTTGGGAGAACGGCCTCCGATTCAGTAACGTTACGGAATATAACGCTACTATCAGTGAAAGAGTCGGCACGACGGGGAGTGTTTACCCCACGTGCCTTGGAGTCGACACCTGTACCAGCTGTTTTCACCACTGGCGGTGGGACTGTCACTGGCTTCCCAAACGACACCGAAGCAACTTTTCTAGTTCATTAATTATGCCTATTCAGATATTAGAAGCATAGCACTTACGAAGAGAACTCTTTTCGGCAATTCACTTCAGGTAACTACAATTACAAGACAGATAAATATACAGGTAAGCGCAGGCTGGGGATATGATTGGTTGAAGGAAGTCGATCAATAGTCTACTCGATGCAGTCAGACCTCATGAGCCGCGCGGGGACGCGCGCACCCACAAAGCACAGACGCGTTGGCCGGCAGGTCTACAATGGTCACTCTCAGTCGTAACCGCGGTCCGACATTACGGCCACGGCAACAGTATAGATCAGGGTTCTCTGTTTGCACCAATCCGGCTGAAGTATTCTGATTGCAATGACTTCAGCGGCGGCCAACAAGCGCTTTCTGATTCCTTTAGGGTTGTGCCTGAGTGCCGTGTAGACTACCTTGAATGCGTCATTAGTCCGAATCTGATGGCCGGTACTAAGCAGGTGTTCGAGGATTGCGCTGCGGACATTCTTAACCATACCATGTTGCAAAGATGCAGGGCAGTGCTCCGCTATCCGCCTAGCTAGACGCCTGGTCGTATGCCCGAGGTACCTTGCACCACAGGTGCAGGTAAAGTGATATAGAACAAAAGATTCGGAACGAGCCGGGATTCTTTCTTTGAGGTGTGGCGTGAAAGCGTGACAGTTTCAGCAAATCTACAAACTTTAGCGGCCGGATGTGTCTTTCTTACCGCCAGTGATAGTCTCCTATTCAGTAAGTCGAAAGCGATATCTCCTTTGAAAGGAACTGAGAGGTAAACATCCTTCTTTCTTGCAGTCGGTATCGCATTAATTTGATCAGAAACAGCGGAATGCTTTTTGATGAACGTCGCGGGATACCCGTTGCTCTGCAGCGTCTTTTGAATAAACTCCAATTCCGTTTCTAGCGTTTCTGGACTGCAAATTCGTGCGGTCTGATACTGTAGACAACGCACGAGGTTTTTCTTGTACTTAATGGGTACAAAACTAAGTGCGTGTACTGACCAACCCAGGTTGTTTTACGGAAGATTCTTCTCTCGAGTGAGC